TTTTTTTTAATTTAAAAAATCACTAACATAATTTCTTTTATTTTTAATTAAAATAAATCGTCAATAATATTTTTTAAATGTAAGTATTTTTTGGTATATTTGTTTTATTTTATATAATGTAAGTACTTTTTTGATTCAAAAATATTTAGGAACTTTATCGCTTAAAATATGAATGTTCATTGGCTTTTTTTCATGTTTTTTCATTATTTTATTACATTAATTAGTTTTATAGGTCATAAGGATGTATATAACAAGTTTTAGAAAGTCTAAGAACTTGTTTAACATGTTTTGGAATGTCCAAAGACTTATTTGTTCCAAAAAATTGTCCAATGACTTAATTATTCCAAACACTAAAAGTCCATTGAGTTTTTTTAGACTTTTCCCAAAATAAAAAATTATTTTATAATCTCAAAAGGGCAAAATGATAATTTTGGTAGTGGTAATATTAATGGCAACCATATCATGTATATCGTAATATCGATGAGACAAAATCATTTGTAAAATAATATATTAGTTTTATGTTCAAATATTATAAAAAAAAATCCATCATTAAAATAGATCAACAATAAAAATAAAACACACTGTAATCAATTTAACATAATGAAATCTTTTGAATAATAATAATAATAATAATAAATTTAGTACTATATTTCATGAACGAAATGGTTTCACAGTTTAATGAAACAAAATCATTTGTAAAATAATATATTATTTTTATGTTCACATATTGTAAGAAAACATTCATCATTAAAATAGATCAAAAATAAAAATAAAACATAGTATAATCAATTCGACATAATGAAACCTTTTAAATAAAAAAATTAGTACTACATTTCATGAACGAAATGGTTTCACAGTTTCATCAATACAYTAATCAACGTAATGCCTGATGAGACATTTGTCATTTTCATGTTATTGGTAGATGGATCCGTTTTATTGTGATAATGAAATTGTTTCACTGTTCGCTAATTACACATTATTTTCTTAGCAATTATAGAAATGATTTCACTTTCTTTATGCATCCATTTCATCAGCCAATTTCTTTCAATATGAACACGTTTCATAGCGTCAATGCATTTAACATTGCATGTTTTTTTAACGATTAAATGAACACCATCATCCAAAAAATAATGAAACAATTCCATCAATAATTGTTGATAAAAAAACAAGATTATGCAAGAATATTATATTACATAACCAATTCATTTTCAAAAGTTTCATAAAACAAGCTCCTCAATGAACGTTTTTACGAATCAATCTGCATACGTTCATAAAACAAGCTCCTCAATGAACGTTTTCATTAACAAATCTAACATGAATCCATTTCACAGCTGATTTATATTTTTACCAGTTCATGAATCTTTGTTACGATTTGTTACTGATTTCGTGGATTAATTAATATAATAATTTTCGATTTTCATATTCTTACCACTAATAAACCGAGAAACCAAATAACAATATTTAATTTTTAAAATACTAATTTAAATAAACATTTAAATATTACCATTTCTAAAATTTCATTTATTAGGTTACCTTAATTAATATCTCTTAATAACTTTCATATTTAATCTAAAACAATGTATATGACAATTCTACCCTTAATGATTAAATTTAATTAAAATAAAATAAATTTTTTATTGGTCGAAATTAGTTTACACGTTTTCTAAGAATTAGACGGTTTTCAATTGATCCCATATATATATATATATATATATATATATATATATATATATATATTTCTTTATCATCTATAGCTTCTTTCTTATTCATCTCTACAAACTGTGGAATCAATAATTAGAGAGTTTTTGGTCTAATGGTATCGTAGTCTCTAACCTCCTGTAGCAAGCGTTTTCCGAGGTTATTTAACTTGGAAAATGAAGCTTAAAAGAGAATGAGATGTTTATTATATGCATTATATTGTAATCTTTTTGATAATCCAACTTTTTTCGCGACATTTTTTGTATCCTAACCTTTTCTGTAACCATCATTAATTTTCTTTTTGTAACCCAACCTTTTCGTAAAAAAATTTCATAACATTCATTCAATTTTTTTTTCGTAATCTTATTCTTAATTACTTTCGTAACACTTACCTTTTTGTTTGCCAACCTATTTGTAACCTTTTCATTACCTTCCTTCAACCTTTCGAAATCTTGGTAAACCAACTTTGTAAGCATCTTGGTAAAAGCTTAGTAAAGGGGTTGTTTACCCAAATGCTTACTCGGTAAGTGTTTATCTATAGGTGTTAACAATATAATTTATTTTGATGAGTAAGATTTTAGTACATCAAAACGTATTGAATGCAACAATTTACCGGGTAAGCACTTACCTGGGTAAGAGTCGTAATATTTACTTATCGGGTAAGACTCTCCATCATTCTCTTCGCTCTTACCCGCTAAGATTCTTAACCCATGTCATGTGCATCCGATAAGAAAATTTATTCGGTAAGCACTTACCAAGTAAGCGTTTAGTAAACGGCCTCTAAGTTTGTTTGTAAAGGTTCCTTGCAAAAAAAAAGAGAGAGCTATCTATGTAACGTTTTTTTTATCTCTTTTCAACATAAGATCAGAGGTACAACTATATGTGTTATTAGTGATAAATTGTTATATCTGTAACAACCTATTTAATTAGCCGGTTGATGGCTTTTGAGTTTGGTTACTATTTTAGTTGTTACATTTTTGGTAATATATGCTGCATCTAAAACTCTTAATTACATTGCATAAATGAGATAACAAAAAATATATGTTCAGTTAAAAATTGACTAAACCTAAACAATTAACAATATGAAACTAAACATAAACCATTTATTATTTTTAACCTAAAAACCATACAATTAATAATTTTAACATAAACAATTTCGACAATAGTTTTACACAGATCGATAAAAAGACCCTAAACACATGTAAATTTAACATTTAACATACTAAGAAACGACCCTGTCTCAAACTAGAACATGTAACAAAATCAAAACTAGATCATAGATTGATTTATATTAATTCAATCAAAATGAAAAGAGAATCTTAGTTGAATTGGAGAAAAATCATAAGAACACATCAAAGTTCAAGGGGTATGAATGCATAAAACAAAAGTGAAGAGTACCAAAATGAAACTAATTAAAAGTATAGGGACCTTAAATGAAACATATATTCAGTATAGGCCTATAGGATACGTACATCGGTACAGATTGTAATCCGGTCGATCTTGTGCCGGAGGTATTAATATAAAATACACATAAATATACGATGTGATTGATTCATGTTGCACAAAGATTTTTTCTTATGTGAGGGGCATCTCTCACGCGTGTGTGTGTTTATATATATAGACCTCACACTTCTCTTCCTCTTGCTAAGTGAAGATACGGTCCGTAGTACTTCGCCGGAAAACATTCACTTTCGCCATTAATTCCGGCGTAACAGAAAGCAGTTTCTCTAGGTTGGTAGATCTCGATGACCATTTTGTTTAATGGTTTCTATCTGTGTGAATTACTCTATGGCCATTGGTTTCTGTTTTCTGATCCGATTCCAATGCTCAAAGTGTGTGTTTATGTGTGCGAAATCATTATTTTCTTGAGATTTGATGAAGATTGTTGACTTTCTTTTTGTGGGTTTTGCTTGATGTTTACTCTTTTCAGGTTTGAAGGAAAGTTCATCGCTTCTTTTTTGGGATCTATAAGCCTTCGGACTTGAATCTCTGGTCACACTTTCACTTTCTCTCTCTAGAAAATGAAGATGAAAATGGCGGATAGGTGTTTGAATTGGTCACAACATTCGATTCCACAATCTCCTTCTTCTTCTTCTTCACTGCAAACCCTAGCCTCTGCAATATCTTCGCCGTCAGCAAAACGCCGGAGTTTGACCCACCTCGCACTCGCTTACCGGTACGTTCACCGGTCGGCGATATTCGGGACGGAGCTGAACAGATCCGTGTCATCAAGAAAACAGAAGCCTATCAAAAGCGCAGTCACCGGCAGCTTGGATGCAGAGTTTTCCGATGAAGAATTCTCGAAGAAGATTCAAGAACTGGCTCTCCGTTTGGGATCGGAATCGGAAATCCAGGACCCGTTTGCTGGTTTGAAGATGGAGCCGCCGGAATGGCCGGGAGATATGATTCCGGCGAGCATTGAAAGAAAAGCAAACAGCGTGGAATTGCCATTTTCTTTGAGAATCATAAAGAGAAAGAAGCAATGGCAAGAAGGACTCAGAGAAGCAGGTGGATCTGCTTACTGTTCAGTGAAGAAAGCTTTCTCTTCAATGGTGTTCATAATCCGAGAGCTTCAAAGCTACACGCTTCAGATGAGAGAGCTTCTATATTACGAAGATTTACAGGAAATCCTAGTGAGAGTTCAGAAAGAAATGAATGCATCTTTCGTTTGGTTATTCCAGCAGGTCTTTTCTCAAACCCCAACCTTAATGGTCTACGTCATGATTCTTTTAGCCAATTACAGTGTTTATTCAATATCAAACAATGTCGCAATCGCGGGGGCGCCACCTCCCGCGACCGTTGAATCCATGGAACACCACAGTCATACCAAGTTCGATTCTTCATCAATAAAGACTTTTTCAGCTGGGAAAACCACCTCAATCGGCGGAAACAACGGCGGTGGTGGGAAATTCCGGGCAGTTGCCAGCGGTACAGATGGCGACGGCCGGTTTGATGGGTCTGTAACTTCGTCGTCGTCGATTGTCAATCCGACCAGGACAAGTGAGGAGTCGGTTTCGGGTCAGGAGAGCCAGAAAGAGGAATGGGAATCATGGAATGCGATTGTGGATGAAGCCGACAGAATGCAGGGTGTGATCGGAGACGGCGGTCTGGATCATGAAACGATGAAAAGATTTGTTTCTCCGGTGACCGTGAAATTGGTTGAAGAAGATACAGAAGATCACTTCCGAACAGAGCTTCTTTATCAAACGGGTCTGTCACAAGAACCCGATAACCCGCTACTTCTCGCCAATTATGCTCAGTTCCTCTGCCTCGTTGCACGTGACTACGATAGGTACCATTTTTTTTCCTTTCTAAAATTCAAACCCTAAAATTCAAACCAAAGGTGTGATATTGTTTCTAAAAACAACTTATTGACTTATTTTGGTCTGACATCGATAATAAATACTTTTGAGTGTTTGAATAAATAATTTATACCGATGCTAAACCGATAGTAAAGAGTTTTTTGAAAAAGTTAAACTTTTCTGACTTATAATAAGTTAATAAGTGCTTTTATAGAAAAATATAAATTATTTTAAATAATTTTTAGATAAAAGTAAAATAAAAATGGTCGACAAGGAGTATTAAAATTACTGATTTACAGCCGTTGAATATGTGGTGGGGGTTGATTTCTATTTATGGTAAAAAAAATCGTTTCGTTGATATTTTATTTTAAATTTTCAAATTTGGCACGGTCCGTTAATTGTTTTTACATTTTTGGTCCATCCAACAGAGCAGAGGACTATTTCAAGAGGGCTACGAAGGTTGAACCCAAAGATGCAGAAGCACTTAGCAAATACGCAAGTTTTTTATGGCAAATTCGTAAAGATTTATGGGCTGCTGAAGAGACTTATTTGGAAGCCATTTCTGCTGATCCTGATAACTCTTTTTATGCTGCAAATTATGCACATTTTCTATGGAGTACGGGTGGCGAAGACACGTGTTACCCTCTCGATTCGCCGGAAACTGGCTTCTCGGATGACGTTTGAATTCACCACCATCATACGAAACTCGGGTTTAGCTTAGATAGTTGGGATAATAAACGATCTAAGCTGAAAAGGCTAAGGTTTTGGGAGGTCGAAGATGCACAGCGGAAGGTTTTAATTTTGTATCATTTTGACAAATCCCTACAAAAGGTGGTTTTGAAGGGACCAAAAGTTGTAATTAAATTTTTGTTGATATAAAATTATAAGTGAAAATGAATTTAGACGAAAACGCAGTTTAGCCGTATCTGGATTACCAATAAATCATACATTTTTATAAATAAAAAGCTTAAATCTCGTTAAAGATAAAGACTAATTATTGTGAATAGATAACAAAAAAACGTTTATACATGGTTCGTAAAAAATCTATTTGAAAATGTATATGTGAACCCATATCACTACTAGAAAAAGACTTTTTTCCGATGAATTTATCACTGGAGAAGTACCGGCGGATTTCCGGTTGATCCGATGGATACCACAAAAGTCAACTATTATTGACTTCCACCACAAATTCGTTCTTGATTTAAAAATGAATAAATATTTCGATTTGTTTTCCGATGGATTTGTAACATATTATTTATTTATTATTTAAAAAGATCCGTCACAAATTGATTTAACTTAAAAATAAAATAATTGACATTTGGTAAATTAAAATCAGTAACGGATTTGAGACGGGTTTTAATTATTTATTTTCTTAATTAAAAACCCGCCACAAATCAACCACTATCTTAAAAATTTCATCCATCGGTGATCTACGATAAATCGAAGATTGGCGAAATAGAAGGGAGAAGACCACATTTTTATTGATTTTAGTTTACCTATTAAAAAAGAATTGTGTAATTTATTTTTATTTTGTTTATTATATTTAATAAAAAATTCAGAATTACCGACAGATCAAGACGGATAAATCAATCGCTAAATTCTTTTTTAAAAAATAATTCACTGAAAAATAACTTTTAAATTAATAAAATTACCGGCAGATTAATTAATGGCGGTTTTCTGACAAATTATCCACCGGTAATTTAATTTAATTTTTATAAAAAAACACCAATTATAATTTTTTAATTAAATTACCTTCGGATTATCCGTCAAAAAACCGCCGATAACTTAATCTTAATTATCAATTTAATTAATTAAGTCAAAGAGTTTGAAAATTTTAAAAAAGTCAATGGGGGATTTCCGGCGGTCGAAGTCCGCCCGAAAATGTGTATTCGAGCAAACTTTTTTCTGCCAAGCAAATCTGTTGGAAATCCGCCAAAAATCAATATGTTTTCCGATGGATTTAATTCGCTGGAAAAAATCTACTGTTTAGTAGTGTATAATAATCTGTAATGTTGGTTCATAGATTCAAATAGAAGTTTCTTTTTTATTTCTTAAGTGGATTCACATATGAACATTTCTTTTCATGTATTTTAGAATTCAAAAGTTAAAGATTTTATGTTCTTTTCATGTGACAACACGGGTAAAAAAAGTTTCTAACGGAAACCGACATTTGAGTGCTATGTATTTTTATATGGAAGAAGAAATGTTATTTCAAAAAATAATATCTAAATAAAAATCAAAGTGAAGTGTTCTCGTAGATCAAATTCAATTTCACATGACGAACAATAAAAAGTGATTGCGATTTGCAAGTTGTCTTTTTGAAAAGTAGTAATTTTTCCTCTAAATAATCTTCTTTTTATTTTCTAATTATATATTTTTTGCAAGCATTTATTGCATATAATTTTTGATAGGAAAGAAACAAGAAGCAAGACAAAGGAGTGGGGATATTTTTCCACAACATGGTTCTACATGCTGCAATAAAAGTGGTACAGTACAACACATGCATGATATATATATATATATATATATATATATATATATATATATATATATATGGAAGAGTTTAAACGAGAATACCTTCATTTTACAAGAACGCAATAACACCTTTTACTATAGACAATCACATGTGATACTTGGTTGCAGGCCAAGTCGCTCTTGCACCAGTAATCCCCCTCACATGTATTATAACATGTGATAATTGTGTTGTTGATATTATAATATAATCCATCAAGACCATCACATTTGATGCTAAATCATAGATACAAACAACCTTTAGCATGGGCCGAGTCGTAGAACACGTCGTCCGTACATCACATGTTTCCCTCACACGTATTATCACATGTAATAATGATGTTCTCGTAAAATAAAGGTGTTCTCATTTGAACCTCCACACACACACACACATATATATATATATATATATATATATATATATATATAATATGAAAGTTTCCTTTACGTGGATAAGAAGGGTACCATGACTTGTTGTTTGTCTTTTAGATACTATATTGTATGGGTATTTTTGTATATTAACTTCACGCAGAAACAATATATTTAATGCAATTAAGCCACAAGAAGTATAGTAATAAAAACGTACAAAAAAGCTTTTATTAATTATATATATATACATATAAAAACAGGCCCATTCCTGACATTTTAAAGGCCCTGGGCGAACGTAAAAACATGACCCACTACAAGAAACAAGACTTTTAGCAATGAATTTTGTCGTCGCTAAAAGTCTATTTATCATCAGAAAGAGTATATAACAACATGTTGTTGCTATAACTTGTGGCGGAAACATGTCATCGCTAAAAGGCACATCGCCAAAGCTCACTTTTCTTGTAGTGACCCTCATTAAGTACGAAAAAATTCAATACATGTTTTTCATTAGTATAAAATTGAGTACAAGAAATGTTAATAATTTACTAAGGAAAAAAATCTTATTTATTTTTATTATAGATATATAAGAGAGTATTTAAATTTACGTTTGTCTTAGTAGGTAATTTGAAACCAAGAGTATAGAAACTATAGTTGATAAATTTTTAAAAAATAATTTTTTTAGTTCATAACAAGAAATATGTGTTATTTTGATACAAAAAGAGAATTCGTGTAAATAAAGTAATATTGAAGGTCAATGAGAGATCAATAATAAAGAAGATTATCAATGTTTTCTAGACAAATAGACAAATGAGGATCAATAAGAATATGAAAGAAAAAATGATTCATTGAGATCCAATAAGAATAAATAATAAATTAAACATATAATATGCAAGCTCAACAAATGATTGTTTGAGCACTTAAATAGAATCTTGTGTTGTGATGGACTCTCAATGAAAGATACATAAGTCAAAGAATTAATGAAAATATCTAAATTATATTTTCCTTCTTTTTTGACTCAACTAAATAAGATGTTAATATTAAAAGTTTATGAAACATGACATGTATAAGGGACATTACTAAATACATCTAGTAGAAAAAATTTATTGATTAATTACAAAACCATGAAACACGTCATAAATTATAAGAACAATAGATTGATTGTGAAACAACAGTAAAATATTTTATGTAGAATAAAAAAATAGATAACAGTAGTCAACAAAAACAATTAGAACAACTTAGGCAAATAACAATAGTTAATAGAAGCAGAAATTGATAAAAAAAAAATGAACAAAAATATATAACAATAGCAAGCACATGATCTTAATGTTTAATTGTTGAAGCACGAAAACAGTCAAGTATCTAGAGATAACAATAGTCAATATCATTGGACCTTGTTGGAGATAAAGTTTTTTTAGAGAGACAATAAACAATAGCACATAATGAATGACCAATTAATTTTTCATTATTTTCTTCTCCAATATAATTAGTTGATATATTTTTGGGCCCTTATTATCTACTAAATTCTTTTTACTTCTTATTATATGCTATAATTTTTTGGATTTCTTTAATTTATTACATTCTTTTAGACTACTATTATATTTTAAGAGAAAAATTTTGGGCCCTTGATATTTTTGGGCCCTGTGCGTGTGCCCGTGCCACCCTCCCCAGGGACGGCCCTGTATACAAATGATATGTGATCGTTTAAAAGATATTGAGAAACAATTTATATGTATTTTAAAATACCAATAAACCCCATCATATATATATATATATATACACAAATGATATGTGATTGTTGATATTGGATTAACATGTTTTATCATCACTATATTTATATAAAGTCTATTTTTTTACAAATCCAATAATTCATACAAATTTATAAACCGGTTTCACATATGAAAGAACATATGTGAAGATATAGTGTTTTATAAAATGTTGTTTCATATGTGTTAAATGTTAATGATTGTTTCTTTCCACAAACCAAACAGTCATGGAAGGTTTCGTATATGAAGCGATAATGTATAAACACTGCATGTCACATGAAAACTGATTTGTAAATTTGTACGACTTATTGGGTTTATAAATGGTTATGTGTTTTTGTGTGTGTGTGTGTGTATATATATATATAGGTGTAAGATATTTTGTTAACTTTGTAAACTTATTGGACCAATAATATTAATTTTTTAGTAGAAATTATTTCAAATGTTTGATTTAATGATGAATGTCAAATAGGTAACTTTTATGTGAAAGTTATTTTTACGGTATTTAATGAGATGTTACAAATTTTTATATGTAAGTTACTTTTATGATATTTAATGATGTTCATTGGATGTTCATAAAAATGTGTTCATTAGTATAAAATATTCATAAGAATGTGTGCATAACCATATAGTGTTCATAAGATTGTGTTTATAACCATATGATGTTCATAGGTGTTCAATAAGATTTTTCATGAGTGTTTATATGCCATGATTATTTCCACAAATACCTCTGTTATAGAATGTCCATCAATTATTTTGTTCAAATTTTCATTTATTACAAATATGCCACAATTTAATTCATAGATTTCATGAATTAAAGGTTAAGATTGGTTCACATAGTAAATACCAATTATTGAATTAATAAAAGAACCCATCCCACATATATATATATATATATATATATATATATATAGGGTATATTTCTTTTACAACCTTGTGCATTTGTACAACCTTTGCAACCCAATTAATTGATATATTTATAGAAATGATTGGAGTTCATTTATTATGATTTGAATATTTATGGAATATGAATAGAGTTTATTAATTATGATTAATACTTTATATTAGGAAACARTTAATTGATTAAAAATTGAATGGTTGAGATGAAGGTTGTATAGGGTGTAGGAATGGCAAAGAGTGTAGAATAACATCCCTCTATATATATATATATATATATATATATATATATATATGAGTTGGTTATTATACACCTCTTGACATTTGTGTAACCAATACATCCCAATATCAACCGTCCATTTCATTTG